TTCTCTTTAGAATTTCAATCTTAAAAATAGTATTTGAGAAAGGATCATTTTTCATATCAACTGAGTATATTTTTGAACTCATTGTTCTGACTCAATGAAAAGTTAATCAGACTGTTTCAAATGAGATATTTATTAAACTCTTTTGAATTGAAAAGTTAGTCAGACTGTTTCAATTAAGAGATTTCTAAGTCTGTTTTCAATTGAAAAGTTGATCAGACTATTTCAAAAGAAAAATAAAAGACTTTTATGTATAAAATATTTGATTTTTTTCACACTAGTTCAGCAACTAGGTTAGATTTTTGAAGATAATCTAATAAACTAAAATTGATTTTTAAGATAAATCAATAAAATCTTTACAATCTCTTTCTTAGAATACAGTGAGAAAAAGTATGATATCAATTGATAATAAATCAGATAATATGACAGTTTTTGAGAGAAAAACTGACAAAAAATAAATCAATTTTTTGCAGAGAAATTGATTAAAACTATTTAATTTTATTTTAAAGCATTGAATTCTTCTCTCATAATAAGTGTGCAACTCAAATCAGTTAACAAAGAGTGTAAAAAAGAATTAAGTATTAATACAAGCTCTTTAGTCACTGAAAAAGTAATTCTTACTTAAAAGAAAATGAAATTATAACAGAAAATAACTCTGTTTTTAATTCTTTGTAACAATATTGTATCAAACTCAGAGAAAAATATCTTACTTTTTCAAGAGAAGTAAAAAACTATTTCTAAGATCTTTTTTTTACATTAACTGCTATAGAAGAATGAGATAGAAACTGATAAGATATATACTACTATATATCTTCTATCAAGACTTTCTCTCTTCAGAGTCTTGATATTATAGAGAATATAAGTCTGTTTCTATATAATAATATAAATATTATCAGTGAGATGTAGAGGAACTGGTTATTTATATCTCAAAATAGAAGACTTTGTTAATAATTATATCAATATAGAGTTAATTCTCAAATTCAATAGAAATCTAGTATTGCTGTTCTCAATTCCTTACAGAATCTATTAAATATTGAGATATTAAAACTAGATATAATATATTTCACTGTACAGAGATCAAAGGCTCAGTCAGACCTTAAGATATACTGATTTTATAGTTATTAATATGCTGTTGACTCATTCTGTTGACTCATTGTTCACTGATTATATATCAAGTACTGTTACTGAGATATCTTTTTGTATTATTTTGTCAGAGCTGAGTCAGATTGAGAGAGATAATATAAGAGTGAGACTTGATGTTAATGTCTAGATACACTGAAGACAGACAGAGTATTTACAGAGATTGCACTTCAGAAGTGTCTGTTAATTATATACTTAATATTATTACTGAGATTTCTTTTTGTATTTTTCTGCCAGAAATGAGCCAGATTGAGAAGAGTGGTGTGAGAGTGAGACTTAGCATTGATATTTTGAAATATCAAAGATGAACAGGGTTTTCACAGAGATTACTTCTCAGATATCTTCACAATTACAGATTGTGAATCTTTCAAAATCAAGAAGATTGATGCATATGACTAGATCTCTTCATCTTACAATTTGTATAACACTTTGGCCTGGGGTTGTGATGTGATAGAGATGAATGAGGAATAATCTCACACAGGAGTTTCAAACAATGTCTGGTTCATGTTTGGCTGAATAGCTTCACCATCACACGGGGTATGCAGTCAGCGATGGGTTCAAAATGCTCATATGATTGAGGGCTTTTCAATGAATCTATCGGCGGGTTCTTATTCGAAAGATCGAGCGAGTTCGTGATGAAGCGGTTGGTTTGAGATCAGAAGAAGTCTCAAGAATAATTTAAAACTAAGATGAAGAGAGAGGGAGAGAAGAAGAGTATTACTACAAATAAACAGTGATAGAAGAAGATTAAGAGAATGTCAAAGTAAGAGATAAAAAGTTAAAACTGATAAGTTTTTTATTTATTAAGAGATAATAATTTTTAATAATACTTCTGTTCTCTAATTAATTAGCAGAGGCTGACAGAGAAGAAGAGAATTAAGGCCTTATTTCAATCTTAAATACACTTTATAATTCAGAATATTGAGACGACAGCTCTACTCTCTGAGTATATCAATCTGCTTACTGCCGAAGTGAAACGTGAGACAGTCAATCAGAAAATGCAGGATTTTGAGATATAGATTAACCTGACTAAGAGAGAGTAGTAGAAACTCTTTTCTGAGAAGATAGCAGAGAGAGATTTTGAAATGATTATCATCTCAGATGAGAAGAAGAAGAAGAAGAAGAAGAATAAGAATGAAAAGTAAATTATGAAGAATGATAAGAAGAATAAGAAAGAGAAGAAAGATAATAAGTAGAAAAAGTATTTTTCTTTTTATATTAGTTAGTTATAAGTTCATAATTATTAATAATTGAAATTAATTTTAAGTTTTCAAAAATTATTATACAAGTTGTAATCAATGTCAGGAATAATACATATATATATATTTAACTATCATGATTCACAAATCACTATAATGTTATGTATAAGTATCAATCATTAATGTCATACTCAACAGACCGCTCCACTACGAACTCGCTCGATTTTTCGAATAAGAACCCGCCGATAGATTCATTGAAAAGCCCTCAATCATATGAGCATTTTGAACCCATCGCTGACTGCATACCCCGTGTGATGGTGAAGCTATTCAGCCAAACATGAACCAGACATTGGTTGAAACTCCTGTGTGGGATTATCCCTCATTCATCTCTATCACATCACAATCTCAGATCAAAGTGTGATACAAATTGTAAGATGAAGAGATCTAGTCATATGCATCAATCTTCTTAATTTTGAAAGATTCACAATCTGTAATTGTGATGATATCTGAGAAATAACTTCTGTGAAAACCCTGTCTATCTTTGATGTTTCAAAACATCAATGCTAAGTCTCACTCACATACCACTCTTCTCAATCTGGCCCACCTTCAGCAGAAAGATACGAAAAGATACCTCAGTAATACTATCAAGTAGACTGACCGTGTGACCGTGTCTGCGACCAGGACCAGAATATTTGATGATCTTATTACCAATTTAACTGATTTCATTACACAGTTTTAACATTAGATAGTAGTTTCATACTATCTCAGTGAGACTTACTGTCAACTCTTGTCACATTTTTCAAATGAGATCATGATTTTCACTTCTTAATTTAAATTATTTTTATTGCTTTAAATGACTTTAAATCTCATTTAAGTGTTATCAAAAAGCATTACTTTTTAAAAAATTAAAAATAGTCTAAAAAAAACCTTAAAATGTCTAAAAATAGTAACTTTATGTCAAGAATGAAACTAAATGAGATCAAATGAGACCACTTTCTTATTTTTTCTAAGTAATGATTTCATTTTGAGATCTGATATATAGTCACTTTGCATGTTTTTTTAATGATTAGTCACAGCGGGATTCACATCAAGAAATGTATGAAACCAGATCAAATGAGATCAAATGTGAAATTCATGATCCCAGCGGCCAGTCTACTATCAAGCATATAATCAACAGACACATCTAAAGTGCAACCTTCACATCTGTCATTAGTGTACCAAGACATCATTGCCAAGTTTCACTTGTGTATCACCTCATTCAACCTGGCCTATCTTCAGTGGAAAGATACAAAAAGATTCCTTATCAAAAGTATTTGATATATAATTGACAGACATGACAACTATAAAATCAGTATATCTCAAGATCTGACTGAGTCTTTTTTCTCTGCGCAGTGAGATATATTAAATCTAGTTTTAATATCTCAATATTCAATAGATTTTGCAAGAGATTGAGAAGAGCAATACTAGATTTCTATTGAATTTCAGAATTAACTCTATATTGATATAATCATTGATAAAGTCTTCTATCTTGACATATAAATAATCAGTTTCTCTACATTCTGCTGATAATATTTATATTATTATATAGAAACAGACTTATATTCTCTATAATATCAAGACTCTGAAGAGAGAAAGTCTTGATAGAGAGTATACAGTAGTACATATCTTAGCAGTTTCTATCTCATTCTTCTACAGCAGTTAATGCAAATAAAAAAGATCTTAGAATTAGTTTTTTACTTCTCTTGAAAAAGTAAGATGTTTTTCTCTGAATTTTATACAATATTCTTATAAAGAATTAAAAACAGAGTTCTTTTCTGTCATAATTTCACATTCTTTTAAGTAAGAATTACTTTTTCAGTGACTGAAGAGCTTTTATTAATACTTAATTCTTTTTTATACTCTTTATTAACTCATTTGAGTTGCACACTTGTTGTATGAGAAGAATTGAATGATTTAGAATAAAATTGAATAGTTGGAATCAATTTCTCTGTAAAAAATTGACTTGTTTTTTATCACTTTTTCTCTTAAAAACTGTCATATCATCTGATTTGATATTATTTGATATCATACTTTTTCTCACTATATCTCAAGAAAGAGATTGTGAAGATTTTATTGATTTATCTCAAAAATCAATTTTAGTTTATTAGATTCTCTTCAAAAATCTAACCTAGTTACTCAACTAGTGTGAAGAAAATCAGGTGTTTTACACAAGAGTCTTTCTTCTTTTGAAATAGTCGATCAACTTTTCAATTGAAAATAGACTGATAAATCTCTCAATTGAAACAGTCTGATCAACTTTTCATTGAGTGAGAAAAATGAGTGTAAAAATACACTCAGTTGATGTGAAAAAAGATGCTTTCTCAGACGCTATTTCTGAGAGTGAAATTCTGAAGAGAAGAAAGAAAGAAGAAGTAGAGAAACAATAAGTTCTTGACATACAAGAGCTTGAAAAAGTGAGCAAAATCCTTGAAAAACAGTGTCTGATTGAGATGAATGAAGAAGTTCTGTTAATTCTCCATACTCAGGCTAGACAACTACAGAAAGTGATTAAGTTCAAGCTTGGAATTTCAAATACAGTTTAAAAAACATTGAAAACTTCTAGTACAATTACTGACTTCTCTTTGTCTTTTTCCTTCTCAAATCAGAAAAAAACATACACTCAAGCAGCAGAATCTGCTGTTTCTAAATCTACTGTCTCAAAACCTGCTCAAAACTCTGAAAATACTTAGAGAAAAAATGCTCATACTTCTCTTCATAAGAAAGAAGAGAAGAAAATGCAAAAACAGAAAAATATTCAAATCTTCAGAAATAGAAGACTTATTCTTAAAGTCTCAAATACAGAGATTCTGTAGAAGAACAAGCTGAACTCAAATCTCATGTTTAAAATTAGAAATGAAGTTAATCAGCAGTTCTTTTCTCAGTGAATATGTGATATTGCAGTTTAAAAACTAGTGATAGCTTCAATTGAGTCATCTTTCTTTGAAAACTCTATCATTCTAACTACAATGTCTGAATTCAGTGCAGAATTTCTTATGAAAAATGAGAATATCTGAAAATCAGTATTAAAATCTCTGTTAAATACAACAATTCTATCTGAGAGAGATGAAAAGTGAGACAAATTCATTTATCATAATATTTCAGTTGAAATTTTTAACTGTGAGAAAGAAATTTTACTTCTTAAAAATGAGTTGAAGAAATACAATTCTATTCAACTAAGAAAGAAGTCTGTATAACTGAATTCAATTGAATTTAGACAAATCAGAAGAAATGTCTCTGTTCTAGTTAATACAAAAACACTTGAATAATTAAAAATCTCTGAAGTGAGAGTAGCAGGTCTAAAAATGAGAGTTCACAAATACAAAGGCTCAGAAATGAATCTCAAAATATAAACACACTCAAACTGTCAAAGATATGAACACTTTGCAATCTCTTATTCCAGAGATATCAAATGTGATTTCTATGCTAGAGATCACAAAACTAGTGAGTATAAATGTGAAATATACTCAAAAAGAGATAAAATATGTTAATATACTCTGGTTAAATACTCTAACTGTAAAGAAAAGCATGTGTCTAGTTCAAAAGAATGCACATTTACTTCAAGAATTCAAAAGAACTGAAGAAAAGAAGAAGCTCAAAGTCAATCTAAAACTGAAGATAATAGTCAAGTCAGTAAATCTACAACTGCAAGCTCAAAGAGCAGAAACTCTGAATTATTGAAATTTAAAAGCTCAAATTCTCCAGCTAAATATAAATAGAATGTGAATTCTCAAACATCTGTTAAGATTAGAGAATTGAGAAATGACTCTATTGATAAACTAGAAAGAATTCAAGCAGTTGAAATTCCTGCTTTTCAAAACAGTTATAATTTACTATCAGATAATAGTGATTAGATTCTACTCTATTTCTACTCTCTTTTAGTATGAATATATAATAAAAACAACAAAAAAAGTTTAAAAATTCTCAAAAAGCACATTTATTTAAAACAATGTGAATAGAAACTCAAATTGCATTTATTCTTGTCTTCAGAACACATTTGAATAAAAAGTTGACTTTGTACTTCTTCAACAATCAAACTTTGATGCTGAGTAAAAGTACATCATTTCTCATTCAAGCTATTACTACTTTCTGCCTGAAAAATCTGAGATAAAATCAAGAGTAGTGATTTACAGGAGAAAAAGATCAAGATATCAATTTAATCTGAGATTTAATATTATATCTGACTCTAATATTCTAGTGAGTGATATTATAGATAAAGAGAATGAGTTTGATATCATTCAACTCATAAATATCTATAATGAAAAGTTATTGAAAGTAAACAACAATTTCTGAATAATTAATAGAGAATTTTGAATATAATTTCCTTAAAAAACTTTCTCATTGCAGAAGACTTCAATGCACATTATTTCTGATGAAATTCAGAATGCAGAAGAGAAGTAAGAGCAGATAAACTGATTAAATAAACTTTTAAGCATTCAATAGATTTAGTTAACAAGTCTGATTAATAAACATTCTTTAGAAAAGACATGAAACAGAAATCTATTATAGATCTAACTTTTATATCATAAAATCTAATAGAAAAAAGACTTATAAACTGATTTATTGATTCAAATAAGACCTCAGAATCAGATCATGAGATTATTGAATTTGATATTGAACTGAGTGAAAAATAAATGAGTGAAAATCCTCTTCTCTTCAATCAGTATAACTTTGAAAAAGCCGATTGAAAAGCAGTTGAAGAAAGTGTAAAACAGCTGAAATCTGAAAAGCAGAGTAAGCTCTATTGAAATCAGAATTGTAAGAGGCCTACGCCGAATAGATTGGTATAATATTGATAGGTCTTATATAACAAAGATAAAAACATTAGAGAAGGAAAGAAAGAGAAAGTGCGAGAATTGACAACTGAGATGGATATTTATACGTGTATGTGGTGGCGTACGCGGTGGAGCTTCGGGGCGGGAGAATATACGCGCGTTTATAGCAGCTGAGGATCGGCAATTGAGAATGACTGAGAATCAGAGTGTACATGTTCAAGAATGAAGTGATTGGAATCTGTGAAGTGTAATGAAATAGTCTATATAATTGATCAGGCGCAGCCCGCCACATTAGCCCCCTCTTTCAGAAGCAGTTCTCATTGATCAAGAGCTGCTGTTTCAGATAACATGAAACTCAGAGTTCAGGTCAGTTGATCATAGCCAACTCATTTCATAAGATATTGTCAGCTGCAGTCACAGAGTCTCTCATTGAGAATATTCTCAATCTCTCACTCAAGCTCATTATCTTCTTCTATGATACCTGATGACTGTCAGTCAGAAGTCAGTTAAGAAGAGAACAGATCAGTGACAGCACAGCAGAGCAAGCTTGTATAAAATACATTATGAATCTCTGATGATGTGTCAAGATAATAGTTGTGACTATCTAGAACTTCTATCACTTTATACTTGATATGACAGTAATCTAGTGTATGAGATGAATGTGTGATTCATATATTCTTAAGATTCAATCATATCAGATCTTCTATCTTATATTGTTCAGTAAGATCTCAGTGAATATTAATTTAATTCTCTTAATCTTGTTTCACAGTTATTATGAAGATCTCTGCTCAATTATAAGTATCTTAAAGTTTTGTTACTATATTATCAGTGATCTGAATCAGACTGCAGAGATCTGATATGAACTGTGTGATCTCTAGAAGATTCAATACTTTCATATAATATCTATGTATAAGGAAGAACAGACTTACACCTGTTGAAACAGTATCTTGATCATTGATAGTGATCTCTGCATGTAGAAGAAGGTCATATCAATCATCTTGTAAGTGATTGCAGAACTTACAGAGATAATTCTTCATAGTCTGAATTATTCATTCTGACATATTATCAGTCTCAGAGTAATAGGCAGTTGATAGACAGTATATAATCTTGAGAACTTGACAGATTCTTATTCAGAGAGTACTCACAAATTAACAGCTCTGATTCAATACTATAGATCTCAGCAATTCATGCATTTAATAGAACAGACTCTGTAGAAAAGCTTCAGTGACTTGTTCAGTATTTATCTTATCACAAGATTTTAATATTATATCTTTGCTTAGTTAATTCATAATGATCAGAATGTTTCTACAACTCTTACTCTCAGATAGATTAACAGTGAAGTCAATTACTATATTTTATCAGATTCTATCAGAGACATTGAGTGATTTCAATAGATCTTTTCTACAGTTCTTTCATGAGATAATAGAAGAACAGTGATTACAGTTTCAGACAAAGCATCTGATACTATTTAATATCTCAGATCAGTAGAACTCTCAGAAGATCATTCTATACAGTTATTCACAGCCTGAATAATCAGTTATATATAAATCATGCATCTCTTGCATTATCTGAGTGTGTAAGAGTTCAGAGTGAGAGACTCAGCATTGTTCACAAAATTATAGAGTATTATTATCATCAATTGAACATTCTGAGATATCAGTTCTTATACATAGTTCTGAGAGAAATCAGAATGCTTCTTGATATACTGCTTTAGTAAGAGTCTGAAGAAGTTCATCTGTCTGAACTACTGTATATCACAGTTCATTCAGTGTAGACAAAGTGAAGATATCAATGACAGTTCTAACTGAAGAAGTATGTATAGTGTTATAAACTGTTTTATCTTAATTAACTAGTATCTTCAGATTCAAGAGCTGATGCTCTCAGTTCATTCAGTGAGTATCTGTTACATCAGATAATATATCTTACTCTCATCATGAGAGAGCATCTATCATTGAGTTCTGGCTATCAGAATGATAGTGTATTATAAAATAAAGCAGCTTAAGAACTCAGATCATCACATCTGTCATTCAGTGAGTTTATAGATAGTTGTGAAGTATTTGAAATTCTTATAATCTATGATTATCTCAAATTCAGAGATACTTCAGAGTTCAGAGTCTCATTCTTCTAAACAGTGTATAATCATGAGAAGTTTCTTATTATAGATCTCATAATTGCATTCAGCAGGACTCAGTTTCTTAGACATGAAGATACATGATTATAGAACCTCTTCATCATCATATTACAATATCACTTCTTCTATTACATAGTCAGAGAAATCAGCTTTAATAACTGTCTCATAATCAGAATCAAATATTATCAGCAGAGAAGTATTAATAAACATCTTCTTCATCTGTGTAAATGCAGCTTCAGTATTCACTGATCATTGAAATACTGAGTCTTTCTTAGTGAGATCTGTAAGTGATCTCACAATATCTGAGAAGTTTCATATAAATCATCAATAGAAGTTAGCAAATCTGATGAAGCTTCATATATCTTTCACAGTACACAGAGCTTCTCATTCAAGAATGATAGAGACTTTCTCAGAATTCATTCAAATTCTCTTATCAGCTTCTATAATAAAACTCAGATACTTAATACTCTTGACTTCAAAATCACACTTATCAATATCTATTAGTAGTTCTGCTTCTCATAGCTGTTGTAATATCTTTCACACATACTCTTGATATTCTTTTCTGAATTCATCAGTGAAGATGAGAATGTCATCTAGATAAGCAGATACAAACTTATTAAGAAAATCTCAGAGTACTCAGTTAATATACTTCTGAAATATACTGAGAGCATTAGTCAGTTCAAAGAGTGTGACTATTTATTCAAAGAGATCATAACATGTTCAGAATGCTGTAAGCCATTCATCTTCTTCAGTGATACAAATCTTATGAAATGCAGTGACAATATCTAGTTTTATAAACTATTGAGCTTATCTGATTCATGCTAGAGTTTCATTGATAAGAGATAAGAGATATCAATCTTTCTTTGTCAATCTGTTCAGATCTCAGTAGTTCACACAGAATCAGAGTTCTTCATCTGATTTCTTTGTAAAGAGAATAGAGGCTGCAGCAGAAGAGTTGCTAACACATATGAATTCTTTATTCAATAGATTATTGAGTATCTTTCAAAGAAGAAGAAGTTCATCTCAGAATATGTTATAAAGAGAATCTTATAGTGATTTAGAATTCTTATCATTCTTTTTCTTTAACTTGATACTGTGATTCACTTCAGAATCTCATAAGAGAGGTATATTCATAATATTATCTTGTTAGAAGATATCTAGATATTCATGATATTATTGAGAGAGTTTCATGCAAGAATCTGTTATTATAATATGAGATAATTTTTCTAGAGTCTTTTTAACATCAGTCAGACTGATGAAATAGATTGATACATAGTTCTGCTATCAGTAATTCTTTCAGTAACTTCTTTTTCTGAGCATTTCATAGATATTGACAGAGATCTGTGTCAGATCAGTAGTCTTGTGAATGTCATCTTTGTGAATTCTATCATTATTAAGGAATATCAAGCTTCTGTTTCAAGCATTTAATAAGATGCCTTGTTCAGATAGTCAGACAAGTTCTAACATAAGATTGTAATCAAGATTATTAACTTTATATACATAGACATCTTCACATTGATATTCTTTCACATCTATGATCAGCTTCATCATGTAACAGATACAAATATCTTTTAAATCATCAAATTCTGTGAGAAGTTGAGATTTTGATAAAGAGATACACTGAAGGTTAT